TAGTTTTAGTAATATTAAACTGTCCGGAGAGGGTTTACTGAGTAAGTATTCAAACTTCCTGTTTGCATCCTTAAAGACAGCCTTGCTGCGGCCTGTTTGCTTAGTGTATGATTAAGATGTTTTGTTGTTTTTTTGTTATTATATTCAGATTTGTTGTTGTTTCGTGAGAGGATATGTTGTTGCTGATTTTTGATGATGTTTAATTTGAACAAAAAATCCTTTAATATAATATTTGCAGGAAAGATAATTTTGCAGAATGTCATGTACGGAACGCGTCTTCTGTTAAATCCTGAAATAGAAGAGGTTGTTGCATTCCGACAAAGGTATAAAAATTCACAGGCCTTGGAAGTTTTACCAACTACTGTAAATATATGTTTGTTTTTCAGTCGCTAACTACGCAGAAATGACACGTTTCCTTAAGGGTTATTGGTGTGGCAAGGAACCGTCAACCTCTTGAGTTGCCCTGTGATGACATGACAGTCGTGCAACAAAATGAATTTTTGGATGCGAAGCGAACAACGACAATCTCTTTGCTGAAGGATGGTATTGAGGTATTGGTGATATTTTTTTAAATATAAGATCCTCCAAAATTAAATGTTCATTATTGTGTTGGTTTTGCCCAGACACTAATATATGATTTCTATTCCACCAGGATGGTAGCTATATAGTGTACGCCACTGTTGTTTCTGTGAACAACAGTGGGGATTGGTTTTATTTAGCTTGCAAGTGTAATAGGGCTGTGAGAGCTCATGGTACCATGTACTATTGCATGTATTGTGCGTGTCGTGTTATGAATGTCACCCCAAGGTTAAGTTTATCATACTCTAACTTTCCCCACATTCACTTTTATTTTCTTTTGCATAGTGTACTAAATATGATTTTTATTCAGATATCTAATCAAGCTATCTGTTAGAGATGATTCCGGTTCAGCTATCTTTGTGTTATTTGACCATGAAGCCGCTTCGATTTTAAATACGTCATGCTCCCTTTTGCTGGAAAAGACAGATACTATATGTGTTCTTTGTTTAATATATTGTACGTATTTGAGTTATTTAATCCTTGAACAGTTAATGACTCTCATTTTACACCAATTGAAGGATGGAAGTACTGAAAGTCCAAAAGAGTTTGCTGATTTTTTGATGGGTAAGAGTTTCCTATTTAAGGTCGAAGTCAAGTCGATGTTCAGAGGACGTCTAGAACAATCTTTCAGGGTATCAAAAGTGTGCCATGATGCAACAATCCTGACTTAATATTTAGAAGGTGTTTCTCCCCATGATATGAAAAATACCTCAATGAATCATGGGCTACTTTATTCAGTGGATGAGGACTTTCTTAAACTTACTAAGGCTGCAACAATATAGACATTGAAAGATTGTATTGAGGTTAGATGAGTATATTACACTAAACACATGCACCTAACTTTTTGGGTAATGTAGTGACTTAAGTGTGTTTTGATCTATAGGACGGTGAATACGCAGTATATGGTACGATCAAGGATGTTGATTCTGATTGGTTTATAACAGTGTGTAGGTGTGGGTCCAAAGTGGTCCCACGCGGTGGATCCTACAATTGTAATGAGTGTATGAGACGAGTGGTGAATCTGATCCCAAGGTTTGGTTTTTAATAATTTCCAACGCTTAATTCTTTATGTCAACAATTTTTTATTAATTGACTCATGAAAAACAATTATGATTCAGGTATCGAATCAAGACAAGAGTTGTTGACACCACGGATAGTGCTACTTTCGTAGTACTTGAAAGCGTTGGATGCTTGCTGCTCCATAAATCATGTTCGGAGATGTTGAAATATTCTAAGGTATGGATAAATATGTGACTATAACACATCATCTTACACCTGTTTTAAAACAAGATTTAAATTCTTTGACACATGTTGAGGTATTCTTTAGACCCCGTACTTTTTTAAAAGAAAAGATGGACAGAATAGAAACATGCACTGTATCATAATTGGCTTGACCTCTTCTGCTCTTGGTTTTTTTTGGAACTGTCAAGCCTCTCCTGCTCTGGGTTTAGCAGAGGCATTTGTGGCCTATCTAAAGTGAACTCTTCTGTGATTTTTTCCCTGTCTGAAATCTTCTTTAAGCATTTTTTTAGCAAACACTATACTCAATACCTCCTCTGCATTGTCTTAAATCTTTTACTCTTGATTTTTTTGTAACTGTCTGAACTCTAATGCCATGTAATTTAAAATCTAACATGTGAGGGCTCTGCAATTAAACATTTTATAAATACAACAACGACAACACAACTCGGTGGGAAGCAATAGAAATTTATTTACCAAAGTTTAAACATGTACAAATAAATAACCTATCAGGTGAATGTAAAACTGACACGACAATGAGGAGAGATGCACTGCCTGAATAATACTACACCAGGATTTTTTTTCCTCCTGATAATTTAAGTTGATGGTTTAAAATGGCAGCTTCTTCTAAGCCAAACCAACATCAATACCCTCATCTGAAGAAGACTCTGAATTTAGTATAATATCATACTTTCTGAAACAAATACGTAATGACTTTGGGTGAGCTAATGCCATTTATTTCCGTACTGACTAGAACATGGCTAAGCTGCCCCATTCATCTTGAGTCATTTGCATGACACAAGTTTCTTATCAACCGATGTTTTTTACATGCCAGACTATACTCCATTACGTTAGAACCCCGTCTGAATCAATCTATAATCACTTTGGTGTGTAGGGCTCAATTTTTTCAAAGCTGTTCTAGGTTTAAAGACATTCATGGAAATAAAATAAATTCAACAGTATGCTCCTCTGCACTGTCTGAAACTGTTTGCCTTTAATTTTGGACTTGCCCTGCAATATGTTATAAATAAAAAATGAAAACATTGAGACATATAACATTGGTTCTTGCTGCTTGCTTTACTTACTGATGGTTATTGTAATTATTCATGCAGAATCTGCCGGGTGGAGACATACAACCAGATGTCGTTAATAGATCTTGATAGATAAGTCGTATCTTTTTAAAGTTGATGTTAGGCGTTCTCAGTTCAATGACTTTGATCCTACCTATAATGTCGTTGACATTTGTTTTGATGAAAAAACAATCTCGCGATTCAAGGAAAGGCACTCAACATTTTTCACCGTCCAGGTTTGTGAACATTATTAATCGAATGTAAATATCACTTAGTGAAAATTTTGTTCTGTTACTGATAAGACATAGATTTTAAAATGCAAATAAAATGCTTAATGGGTAATTTATTGGTAATAGACTGATGTGACTTTGGGACTTTCAACTGGAGAAAAATCATCACAGCATACCTTCTCCATGGGCGATGCATCATCATGTGTAAATGTTAGGACTCTAAAAAAATGCACAAGTAATTTAACTTTTGCTCAATTTTTTAATTTCTTGGCATGGCATATGTGTAAGTTGATAGGAAAAAGTTTATACTATCACCAGTGATTTGCTCGGTTTAGCAAAAGACACACACCAATTAATGCTTTGTAGTGTATAGATCGAAATGTTCCAACCTAAAACCAAAGTTCTCCCATGCGTCCGAAAGCAATAATACATCATCATTGGAGGTCACATTTTAGTTCAATGCATTTCTGATTTGTTATGTATCTTGCATTAAATTCTTGGTTCTTTTTCTTACAGAATTTTTATTGAAGATTTTGTGCAATCAAAGGATAATCAGTTTGAACGACTTGGAAATGATATCGCTGACTCTACTATTGACAAAAGAATCGAAGAGGTTGAAACTGACTATGTAGACGGTCATGAACCGAGCAAGAAGATGAAGACCGTTAAGATTGAGAAAATTTAAGACTAGAAGTATTATGTTAGATGGAGTACTATTCAGTTTTTGGGATTTCATTTACGTGTTAGACGTTTTATAATTTATCATTTTTGATGACTTTGGTGTTTGAAATTAAAAACTTGAAATTTTCATTCATTTTGTTTTTTTTAAATAAGATTGCATGTTTGAATAATTTATACTCAGTTCAATGTCATTACACTCATATTCTATACTTTGACCTGTTATATAGTTCATAATATTCATTAATGTTATATTATTATACTAAATAAATAATTCATTTCTGTTTATCTTAAAAATATTACTAATGGAGGTACTAATATTGATTGATTTGGTTCAACGAGCTAAAAAAAATGTGTTTAATAATTACAATTAGGAGCAAAACTTTTAAACATGTAAAAACCTAAAATTAACCATACGTACTTGGTAGTTTTTTTAAGAAACAAACAGTATTTGTTTTAAAAACTTGGCTTTTTTACTTATCCTTTTTATTTCTAAAGGATATAATCAAAGGATTATTAGTTAATGGATTTGATAAATATTATTTTAAAAATATTTGATATAATAGATCTAATAAAACCATTTACGGAACAATATCAGACATCATTTTTTTAATGGTGTTTCAAATTTAACCAATTATGTCTGGAAAAAGTCAAATATTAATTAGGAAAAACTCATGAACGGAAGGAGTATGATATAAATTTCATAAGAACTCAAATTTTTAGTCTCTCCGTCTATAAATATTTCTCTAATTTTGACTTTTAACCAGTTTTGACTCTTTTCGGTCGGTAGTTTTCAATGTTTCATCTATACTTAATTAAAATATATATTGAATATTAATAAGATAAATAATATTTTGAAAATATTTGATGTAATAAATCAAATAAAACAATTATTGTAACAATATCTACTATATATTTTTTAATTTGAGGTAAAGAGTACCAATTATGACTGATAAAAGTCAAAATTGCAATTTGAAAACTCATGAACGGAGGAAGTATAATATATATTTTATAAAAGTTTAGAATTTTTACTCTCTCTGTGTAGGAAGATTTCTCAGATTTAGAATTTTTACAGTCAAAATTTTTAAAATTTGACCTCAAATTTAAAAAAAAGATGGTAGTACATATTGATACAAAAGTATTTCCATTACATTAATTATATAAAGTAATAACAAAATTTGGCTATTTTGACACCTAAATAGGAATCATCTGCGCACGGCCCAGTATTTGACGCACTGCGAAAAGGTTTTTCTCTTCTTCGCCATATCCTTCTTCTCCAGGGATCCTTCGCCGAAATCAATCAATTTCTTGGGTCTATTCTTCTACAACGACTAATTCTCAAAGGGAAAGTCTCCAATTGTTCAAGATTGAGAGAATCCCTAATTCGGCTCGGAGTTGTCCGACGATTCAAGAATAAGGTTAGTTTCCAAAATTCATGTAAATTTATTATTAAATTCGTAAATTCACTTATCGCAGATACCAGGTAGAATGTTCGATCTATACAATCTATGATCTTCACCATAAAAAAATTGTTAAGATTCATATTATTGGACTTCTAGATTTTTTTCTCCTCTAGGTTTTAATTAACAATACTGCTCTACTTCTTTGAATGTAGTCACGGAAGCAAGGACGGAATTTTGCCGACACTAAGACACTAACAATAACACCGGTTTGTTTTTTACACTGCTTGAATTTCAATTTATTTTACTTCTTAATGAAAACATGCTATCTAGGACTATTTTGAACTTTCTTGCACTCAAAAATACATGATTAAGATCTCCGGTTTGATTCAAATGATAGATTGCGAAAGTTGTACAAGAGAGGCATAAACTAAGATTTTTTTAGAAACTAAGATTACCACTACTACAAAAATTAGTAAATAGACTGCCTCAATAGTATCGGTTATTAAAACAACCGATGCAAAAGATCAAAAGCATCGGTTATTTTGAAAAAGCGATGCTATTGATATTTGTTAAAAAATAATAAAAAAATTAAAATGGGTATTAGCATCGGTTATTTAAAATAACCGATGCAATTGATGAATAGCATGGCTTATTTTATATAACGGATGCTGATACTCTTTTTTATTTTTTGATTTTTCAGTGCTTAAGCATCGGTTCTCTTCCTCAACAGAGAGGATCCTCTTATTTTTCTTTAAGTCAATAACCAGAGACGCCCTATCTATCTTCTTCTCTACGATTGTTCATTCACCATCGTCCCGCGCCGTTGTCTTTAGGCCATTGCCATTTCCGCGCTCGACAACAACGCCGTCGCCATCCCTAGTGTCAAGGCTAGTGTGCTATGATCAAACCCTAGGTCTCAATCAGACAAGTCTTCATGGACGGCTCACGCTTCTGAGCGCAAAGGTCGAGTAGCGAGATGAGGAACTTGAGGTTCCGATCCATTGGATGGTCGGAACCATCTAAAGCCTTGCTTAGAGGTGATTTCTTTCCCCATCCTTTTCAATTTTATTCACAGCTGTATATATGTCTGTCTTCTTTGTGTTTGGATTGGATCTATGTGCACTTTGATCGAATTCGTGGATTTTCTACACTTTGATTTGAAGACATTAAAATTGAAAATTGGAGTTTTGGTCGGATTTGAGCAGTGTCATGAGCTCAAGGCAGATTGTTTGATCTTATTATGCATATTGGTTACTTTGATAACATTATTAACACTAATTAATGGGTTAAATATTTTACTCTCTCATATGATTTATAATGCAAATTAAATTGGATAAAGAAAAGAAAATCCATTCCATTCGTGACAGAGGAAGAGGAATTTTGATGACAAAGGAGGATTTAATCAAGAATTTGGGAACCATTGCCAAATCTGGCACTTCAGGTATCTGTTTTGCAAATCTCAAATATGAAAAAGCAGTTCACTGCTAGCTGCATACTTTATCCTCTTTTCTGTTATTGGATAGAATTAGTTATATGGTTGTTACTTTGTTGTTGTGTACAGCAATATTTGTTGAGAAAATGCAGAAAAGTGGAGACCTTAACCTTATCGGACCATTTGGTGTTGGGTTCTACTCTGTCTATCTCGTGGCTGACTATGTAGAAGTTATTAGCAAACACAATGATGATAAACAGTAAGCTCTACCATGATGTCCATTGAATTGAATGTGTGAATCTGTGCTCTTTTGTGACCTTAACAATTTTCCTTCCCCCCCCATTTTTTTTTCTTTCTCCATTTTCTTCCCCATTTTATTTCTTTTCGAGCTTCTTAACTGATCATCAAGGTTTCTAATTTCTCATAATATTATGTGAGTAATTGCTCCGAAATCTCTGCCTTCAGATATGTTTGGGAATTAAAGGCTGATGGAGCCCTTGCAATTTCATAGGATGAGTGGAATGAGCCACTTGGCCGTGGAACTGAAATCAGATTGCACCTTAGGGATGAAGCTGGTGAATACTTGGAACAGTCTAAATTAAAGGTGAGTACAGAAGTAATTGTGGTCTTAGCTCCTGCTTAAAACATTCAGACTCACTGGTTCTTTTTATGGACTCTTTATACATTCGTTATATGATTCTGAGGCACAAATGGACAGCTTTTTACTGGTGTTTCTTGTGATATACTCCGTAGTATTTACTGGTGTTTCTTGTGATATAGGTCGAAAAATATTCTTCATGGTAAAACATTCATGGTTCTTCAGAAAATAGTGGCATTATCTGGTAAAAGCTCAAGTACTGTCCGGTTTTCAGAACTCAAGAAACAGTGATATTATTTGCCTCTGATGGTAAAATATTCATGGTTCTATAAACATCTTTATCAGTTTCTTTTGTTTATACAACAAAAAATTGTGTTATAAAGCATGCTAAAACTTTCATTCTTTTTCTCTATATGGTGCTAATGCATAGTGTAGATCGGCATTGGATTACTTTCTCTCCATCAACTATGCGGAATCAACAGCGTTTTATTCTATTCTAGTAAGATCTTCGAATCTGCTGGTGAGTTCTTCTCTCAGCTTCATAATCTTCAAATGATGCAGTGACAGTTACTGGGGGCATTTGTTCCATAAGTCTTGAGTGCCTCATAATGCTATGAAATTTTAAACATACATGTGTAATTTTCCAGTAAAGCCGCAACTTTTGGAATTGGGGCTATTCAGGTAACTAAAAGATTCTTTTTTTTGTTTTAGTAGTCAATGAAGCTAAAAGAGTCACAATTGGAAATTATGACTCTTTTATATTAATGGCACAAGACTACTTTTGTTATACGGAGTACTTAAAAAGAAAAATATATCGAATTCTGTTTTCCCAAACTAGCTAGCTAAAGGAAATAATGATATGTTGTTTTAAGAGTGACTGTTTATTGACATTCTGCGTGTTGCATTGCAATGCAGTGACGATGAAGCAGAGATGAAGAAATGTGCTCTTCATCTATTAGTTTTATCACATTCCTGTTACTAGGAATTGTTTCAGCACCATGTACAAGCTAGGGAAGGGTATGTTGGCACCCCCTGCTGGTGTTTGAGTCTTGCTGGATCACCGTCGCCCGCGAGTTTCTTTGCCCGCTCGTTTCTCGAAACCTGAATCGCAGGTTAGATTTCATCTGGGTTCTAGTTCCTAACAAGAAAACCTTTTCTCTTTCTTTATTTGTGTAGATATTAGCCGTTAGTTTTCAGTTGTGGTTTTAATAGTTCGAATTCTTCAATAAAAATTTCAATTTTTTGGTTTAAAACATGTTCTTGTGTATGCCAGTTTGTCAAATTCAGCATGTGAGTGGTTCTAACCCTAAGGTGAAACATATGCATGATAATTGTGGATGAAACCGAGAAGTTCATTTCAAAAGTCTGATTATCCAAAGGTGTTTGATAATTTCTCTCAAAGAATATTTGGCTAAGCTTAATTGATTTGGAGTGCACTTCTATTTGTTTAATTCCGAACCAAATTGTTATTCTGCAATTGGCGATAGTACAATTGCATTGGTAGTTTCGATGCTAATACTTTTTTATTTAAATTAACAAAATAGCAAAGGCATTGGTTGTTTAGAAAAAACCGATGCTAATACTCTTTTATTTAAATTAACAAAATAGCAAAGGCATCGGTTGATTAGAAAAAACCGATGCTAATATTCTTTTTTTAAATTAATAAAATGGTAAAGGCATCGGTTGTTTAGAAACAACCGATGCTAATACTTTTTTTTTAAATTAATAAAATAGCAAAGGCATCGGTTGTTTAGAAACAACCGATGCTAATACTCTTTTTTTTAAATTAATAAAATAGCAAAGGCACCGGTTGTTTAGAAACAACCGATGCTAATACTCTTTTTTTTTAAATTAATAAAATAGCAAAGGCATCGGTTGTTTAGAAACAACCGATGCTAATACTTTTTTTTTAAATTAATAAAATAGCAAAGGCATCGGTTGTTTAGAAACAACCGATGCTAATACTCTTTTTTTTAAATTAATAAAATAGCAAAGGCACCGGTTGTTTAGAAACAACCGATGCTAATACTCTTTTTTTTTAAATTAATAAAATAGCAAAGGCACCGGTTGTTTCCAAAGCGATGCAATTGAATTGGACCAATTGCATCGTTCGTATTTACATCAGTACAAAACCGATGCTAAAGGTATAAAACAACCGGTGCCTTTGCCCTTTTATGTACTAGTGTACAATCCTCCTCTGCATGTTTTTAGAAACTAAGATTATGTCCCTATATTCATTTAATATTTTTTATTTGTAATTTAATCTGGCAATTCATAATAAATTAGTGAATGTTAGTTTGAATTGGGTAGTACATTCCAATATGTGAAAGTGTTCAACTCTTGATTCATAAGAGGTGTTTGATGGTGGATTGTAATCTTTTGAAGAGTGATCATTTTTGGTAAAATACGTTTTATGTCGGTGGATTGTAATCATATTTTAACCTACGTTTTATTCTACAAATGGAGAAAGAATGTTGATATTGAAAATACTGATTTCACGAATTCTTTGGTAGCAGAAGAACAGGAAACTTATATAAAAGAATATTGCATAGCTTATAAAGAATAAAATTATATACCTCAAACACCGACCTTGATAGTTATAATTCTTCCTCTTATTAACTAATAATCCTTTGATATTTCCTAGATGACAAGTCAAATTCTATCAAATATCTATTTAAATATGTCAACAAAGGACCCGATAGAGTGACTGTTGCAGTAGGACAATCAGATGGTGACTCTCATAAGTCAGCTGGGTTTAATGAACCAGAGAGGTACTTAAATTGCCGATACCTATCTGCGTGCGAGGCTGCTTGGAGAATCTTGGCTTTTGACATACACCACAGATGGCCAGCAATTATGAGATTAAATTTTCATCTTCCGGGGTAGAAATTTGTGACCTTCAAAGACAAGGATCAAGTAGAGAAAGTAGTTAAAGAGAATGCTGAGCGTCTTTCAATGTTCGAGGCTTGGATGAAGGCCAATACAGAGTATAGACAGGGACGTACACTGACTTATGCTGAATTTCCAGGACACTTTGTGTATGACACGCAAGAGCAACGATGGTTACCGAGACAATAAAGACCATCCATAGGCCGGGCGCATTATGTTCCCCCAGGTACTGGTGAGTTGTACTACTTGCGACTGCTCTTGACCGTGCAACGAGGATGCACCAGTTACCAAAGTTTGAGGATAGTAAACAATATTGTACATAACTCATTTGAGTTTGCGTGTGAGGCGCTGGGATTATTAATCGATGATAAAGAATTCATCGAAGGTATAAGAGAGGCCGCCATCTTAGGTTCGGGAAATCAATTAAGAAAGTTGTTCGTCACGTTGTTAGTGACAAATGCCATGAGTCGACCGTGTGTTGTTTGGCAAGAAACGTGGGAAATATTGGCTGATGGGATTCTATTTGATAGACGGAGATTCTTACGCAATCCAGGTAATGTGTTTTTTTTCTTATTTTATTATTTTTTCCATTTCCAGTTGTTGTGTACACAAAATTTTTATTATATTTTTAAATTTTTTTAAACGTTTTTACAATGATTTCAACTTAATCATGTGCGTTGGATTGAATCTTATAAAATTATTGTGTTAGTTTTTGTTGTTAATAATGGAGCATTCACATATTTTACTAAAAAAATCTATGTACATAGAACGTATTTATTTAATGAACTATATTCGTGAGTTTTTTGTTTGGTAAAAATATGGATTTTTATTTAATATATTCGTCACTTAACTTAACACGTCATGTGTTTTGCAGATCTTGACATTTCGCCAAATAATCTACAAAATTTATGCTTGATTGAGATTGAAAAGTTGCTGAATTCAAATGGACGCTCTTTAAAAGAGTTTGGTGGCATGCCATTTCCAGTTGACGACCCGCTGAATGTGTTTCAAAATAATTTCTTGGTTGAAGAGCTGAACTATGACAAAGAAAAGTTGTCCACTGATCTCAAAGAATATTTATCCACGATGAATGACGATCAGAGAAAAATATATGATGAGATAATGGAAGCGGTGGCAGCTGCGAGAGGAGGTTTTTATTTTGGGTATGGTTATAGGGGAACTGGAAAAACATTTCTTTGGAAATCATTATCTGTTGCGCTTAGATCCAATGGTAAGATTGTTTTAAATGTTGCATCCAGTGGAATTGCAGCTTTGCTATTGCCAGGTGGTAGGACAACGCATTCAAGGTTCTCAATCCCTTTAGTGCTAACTGAGTGTTCAACGTATGCGATCAAACAAGGAAGCCCAAAGGTAGAATTAATTCAACAGGCAAGTCTCATAATATGGGATGAAGCGTGTAGGATGAATAAATTTGCCTTTGAGGCGTTAGATCGCACCTTGAGAGATATTATGCGGTTCTCCAATAAAAATGCTGCAAATGAACCTTTCGGTGGAAAAACGGTAGTGCTCGGAGGTGACTTCCGTCAAATACTTCTAGTTATACCAAGAGCTTCAAGAGAAGAAATCGTGGAAGCTACCGTGAATTCTTCGACTTTGTGGTCGTATTGTAAAGTATTTACATTGACTAAGAATATGAGATTGCATTTATCTTCATCCAGCCACGCAAACCGTGACACAGAACTTTTTTCAGAGTGGATAATAAAGATCGGAGATGGACAGCTTGGCGTGGTTAATGATGGAATAGGTGAAATTGAAATTCCACCTGAATCCTTGATCCTGAACTCAAGTTCTCCACTTTAGAGTATAGTGGAATTCACGTATCCAGACTTATTGGAAAATATGAAAGATTATACCTTTTTTATGGATAGAGCTTTATTAGCACCCACACTTGAAGTTGTTGAAATGATCAATGATTTTGTTCTGTTTCTAATTCCTGGAGATGAAAAGGAGTATTTGAGCTCTGATTCTTCGTGTCAAGCAGATGCAGATATAGGCATAGATGGTGATTGGGTAACGACTGAGATTTTGAACGATATCAAGTGTTCTGGGGTTCCAAATCACAGAATTTTTTTGAAGAAAGGAGTACCAATTATGTTGTTAAGAAACATTGATCAAACATCTGGGTTGTGTAATGGTACAAGATTAATAGTTGAAGAGTTGCGAAGAAACATTATCGGTGCAATTGTTGTATCAGGAAATAATGCCGGTGAGACGGTTTACATACCAAGAATGAATTTGGTACCATCAGATCCTGGATTACCATTTAAGTTTCAAAGAAGACAATTTCCAATATCTTTATGTTTTGGGATGACAATCAATAAGAGTCAAGGCCAAACATTGTCATTTGTTGGATTATTCTTGACCAAATCGGTATTCACTCACGGTCAACTTTATGTTGCAGTTTCACGAGTGAAAGCCAAGAAAGGATTGAAAGTGTTAGTTTTAGATGACAGTGGTAACCCTAGCGCACCAAAAATGTGTTTTACCCTGAAGTTTTTCAAAAAATTTGGATTTAATTAATACATTTATACGTTTGATTCCAATTTTGTTTCCCATTAAATTTAGTTATCATACTCTGTTTGTGTTGTATCATTTATTAAAATTCTAACATTCTCTATCATATTTAGCTTCATTTTTTAATTATGTACTTAAAACAAACATTTAAAAGAGTTAAAAATAACATTCGTTCGACCCCGTGCGTTGCACGGGTTAAATACTAGTTCTTCTCATTTTAGTGAGTTTACTGAACAAAAACCATTTTTTCTTTCAAATTTTTGGATAAATATATTGAGACGGGGGAATATATTATACCTATTACCTAGTATTTGTTTTAAAATATTGGGTCTGGACTAGTAGGGCTGCTTGGCCCCCCGGGCCGGCCCTACCTCTCACTTTCCAGACTTGTGGCTCAGCGGCTCTCTCATTCCCTTTCGACTTCTGTCCGCTGACAGCCGTGGAGGTATTAACTTAACGGGAATAATTTTTAAAAATAAAACAAGATTGTTTAATCTGGGATGAAATACTCGTGCGTGTCAAAATAAACTTTCTACTTTCTTTTTTGGGTTGTTCAAGAATAAATTTCTCATTCATTAAAAAATGAAATAAGTGGCAATTATTAATTCTCTCTCCTCTCTATAATTCTCAATCAAATAATTTTATTTTTTTAAAACTACGTAAAATAACAAAAGAGAAAATAATGTGGACGGAGTGAGTAACAAACATTCCAATGCTCTAATACGCATTTGGGGAAAGTACGAGAGTATAAGATTCGATATTTATTAACACTATGTTTGTTTAGATCAAGAAATTTGAGAAGAAAAGAAAAAAGAAAATGAGAAGGAAAATATTTTTCTTGTTTGGTTAGAGAAGAAAAGAAAAGAAAAGTTGAAGGAAATGAAAATAAGAAGAAAAAAAGTTCAAAGAGGAGAGAAAACCAATATTCTTCTATGTTAGTGAGTGAAAACCATTTTCTTTTTTTTTTTTTGCTTCAAATTTCTTGAACCAAATACAGTGCAAGTGAAACAAGTAGAGAATCAAATTAAACTGGTACTCAAACAAAACTAGGAAAAATGACCCTAAATAGTTATTGTCTTTGTTTAGGAATAATATCTTCAATTAACATCAGTGTTTAGGATAATTGTTTAATGATGCTGACCAATTTTAAGAAAAAAATACAGAGTATTAAAATTAAATACTGACTTTAGACAGCATTTTTAAAAGAGTGAATTTTTTGCCAAACAAACTCATACTATATATGTACTCGAAATATATATGAACCAATAATCATCATATGCAAAACTTATCTAAATCAAAATATGTATAAAGTAAGAGCATGTGTGATGGTACGTAAAAAATGTTATGTTACATGATGACGTGAATTATTTTAATCAATCAAAATCAATCTAATTAGCGTGTGACAAATGAGTGGAGTGACATTCTTTTCAATGACAAGTCGTTATGTTTGTCAGTTTTTACACTTTTTTAACATATTTTAATTATTAAAAGTTACTCCCTTCGTTCCAATTTATCGTGTCTCTTTCGATTTACGATGTTTGACTGAAATTATTTTAAAATCATTTTATATGACAAATGGTATAGAGTTAAAAAATAAAAATTACATATCAAAATACTACATCAAAAGATCTACAAAACTAGAGTTATAAATTGGGATGGAGGGATATTTTACTTATAAAATAGATGTACTCATTTTAAAAAAAACTTCATTTTTTTACAAAAAAAAAAAAATTAAAAACATTAAAAAAAAGCCTCGGGGATGTCATGCTAAGCATGGCAAAACATCCTAGCCACGCGAGGCAAAAGCAGAGTTGTGATGATGTTGCAGGGCATGACAGGCAATTGCCTCGCCATTGTCGTTGCTATAATAGCTATCTAAACTGATATGCAATCGAACCATATACCCCTCTATCTCATTAAAAAACATCTCAATATAATTTTTACGAAGCTCATGATAAATATTAAAAAGGAAAAAAACGTTAGCATTAGTTAAGAGGAGAAAATGTTTCTTAGACATAAATTTAGAAATCTTTTTCATAAAATGAAATTTTTCGTATGGACGAAAAAAGAAAGTAAGAAGTTTCTTTAACAATACAATATTTGAATGAAATTATATATCTTAGACACAGATTATTTTCTTGTTGTGCATGACAATGTTGTAATTGGACTTAAGTTATTTGTAATTCATTTTATAATAAAAAACGGATGTAAAATTAAAAAATAAAAATTATACATTCAAAAACTAAGTTACATAAAAATACTTGTAAAATTAGATTTGAAGATAAAGAAATAAGAAACGAGGTACTTACAATTAATAGGTAGCTACTGCAAGTATATATATCATTTTTATATGAATTAACCTAAGGGTACACTAACATGGGTTACCCCATTTGTACACCAAGCCAACACAGACACATACAAATATAAAATGTATGTGCTGCACAGACATTTTATATCTGTGTGTGTCTGTGTTGATTTGATCTACAAATGATATACTCCATGTTGGTGTACCCATAGCATTGCCCCTTTGTATATTTGTATAGGTTTGAACTAACGAAGCGTTACTAATGCGTAAAGCAAACTACTGAGAATGAAGCAATTGATCACCAAACTTATATTATCAATCATGTAAACATAAACAGATTATCTTGTCTTGTTTAATTATGCGCCTAGAAATAATAGTAGATCAATCAAAGAGTTAATTAGTTGTTCGTTCATTGAAGAAGAAGAAGATTTAATGGCGGCGCGCGGCATCTGATGTGAATAGCAGAGAAACCGATTCCATCTCTCTTGGTAGAAGTAGACCGAGTAACTCACCAAGGAACACATCACGAAAGTCCCACACTAAGGGTATGTCCTATTTAGGGGGCTCCTTTCATACGTCTTTGATGTTACAGAGGAACACTTGATAAGCCAAATACACTAACTATTTTTTGCATTTAGAAAGATCCTCTGAAACAAAGGTATAATCCAAACATATTTGTGTAAAAAGTAAATCACACCATATCATAAAATAACACTAATAATAAGTTAAAAGTGTAATTTCATATTGAACATATATCTAGCTATGTGTTCAGATATCGACTTCATAGACAACACATCAATACTAACTATACCATGGATTAGAATTCTAACAAAAAGTAACATTTGTATACTATTGTTGCGGCGGTGAAGAACATCTCTAATTGACAAAGGACTCATCAACAACAACATCTAACATTGGCAATAACAAGAAGGATATATGATTATTGTAAAATTTCATGTTTAATTCTCAATTTAACATCAAGATAACAAACAATCAAATAAAGAATACTTGTAAAAAGATACCCATAAAAGAAGCACGAACATAATATTTACTAAATATGGAAAATCTCTATTATAAACTACCAATAATAAATTTTACTCTTTATAAAGTGATTAATGAAAATAAAGCAGAGAATGACAAAAGATTGACCCAGTGAATGGCTAATAAACAACTCTTTTTTGGGATTAATAGTCATCTTAGACGAATTCTCTAGACAAAGGGAGGTATTGTGCTGGTTATTCATTGTTCAATTACAATAATAATCAACATAAAGCTTCAGTCGTTGGATTAAATAATGGTGATGTGATACCCTTATTTATTAAGTACTCGGTATCAATCAATATTTACAAAAGTCATTCCCTGCCACCGTCAACCTCCCATGGAAACCAAGAATTAAAGTCAGACAAATGGATATATAAATATAACCCTGCTTTTTGCAGCAGCAGCAACAAAAGCAGTAGTACACACTTGATTATCTGAATGACGAATATTACAATGCACAAACAAGAAATGGTAAGAGATGTAACAAATCACCAAATCCCAGCTTTTGACATTTTCAGGAAGTTGCAGAGGGTAATGTTTGGGAGTTTTATGTCATCCCCCTTCTTCTTTATCTTTGTTATCTTTGCCGTCTCAGAGCCTTCTGATTGTGTGACAACTGTCACCGAGACCATGTTGTAGAACTGTGGTTAATCAAATTAAGAGTCATTAAGAAAGTAATTACAAGGCCAGACTTTTTGTCTAAATAAATCAAAGCCATTTTGTACCTCACAAACACCGTGCAGTAACAAACGCTGGAAAGGGTCTTGAACGCAGACTTCTAGGACATCGCCATCACTGCTCTCTTTGATAAATATTCGAAGACATTCCTAAAAAGTTTTTTCCATTGTCACTCAGAACTACAGAGTATAACAACACACAAAACAAAACATGTGGTAATTGTAAAAATGCTTGGGCACTTGGAATGAAACTATGTGATTCAGAACTTAAGATCTATGCACTAAACGATACTCGGTAACAAATACTGGTACTGGCAGTGTGTGCATATAGTTAACACCATAAAAGCTACTCAACATTTCAAAAACACAAAAATTCACATCAAGATAAAAAGATAAATGCATAGGACACTTGATTCTCAGATGTACCTCATAATTATTAATCAGTTCTGGAAGAAAACTACGACGAAGCGCCTTTCTTGTTTGACAATCCACTCTATGCCACGCAGTTAATACTGCAACCTTATCATTATCAGCACCGCGCTTCTGCTTTGATACAGAAACTTTGAGGGCCTCCATCATGGTAGCCTAATAGAAAAAGGTATAGGCAAGGGATTAAATTTCTCCCACCGTTAAAATGAAGTTTACACTAGACCATCACATATTGTAAGATATTTGTTGAAAAATGAAAGGTGTTGGGTGATAAGTGGAAAGTGTGGTTGAAATTCATTTAGGAGAGCGAAATCATAAGAGCCGCATATTCACTTCTTAAAAGGGAAAGTGAAAAAATGTAAGCTTCACTTTATGACATCCAAAAAAGGAATATGCAAATTATTTGGAACGAAGAGAGCATAAATTAGAAAAAGCATCAACATCAAAGCAAGTCATGGTTATAACTAGTAACTACAAACCCAAAAAGAAAGCACATCCACAAATTCATAAAAGGTGTGCATTTGTCGCTATAATAAATACTCCCATGTTGTAATCATTTGTAGAACATTATTCCCAACTAACTGGGGTCAATGGCATTACATTTATTGTGCCAATCAATTGTATCAAAATTATAATAACATAACATAGATATAAAAAAAATACAAAAAGAGAATAAATCATAAGGTCTCGTAAAAGAAGTGCAATAAAAATTGTTGCACCAGCATAGAAATTAGTTAGGATAATTTATTAGACCTCATAATTTATTCACACATCCACATGTATAATACTCCCTTCCTTCCACAAGAAGTTAATCCTTTTCTTATCGAGACAAAAATATAACTTTCTTTTAGCTCAAAAATTAAACAGGATCTGAATAAATAAATGAAAAGTCCATGCAATAAAAAAACATACAAAAATCTGTTATCAAGTATGGATGGTTTTCATAAAAGGAATAAAATAATTAGTACCTCTTTGTCCATGTCAATGCTCCTGAAGTTGTCCCACTCTCTACTATACGTCATGCAAAATGGTGAGGGGGGCGAATCATCACCTGTAAATTTAATTTTAAAAACAGTTCAATTAGTAATATATTTTTTCTATGAAGCAAAGGAGCAAGTGCGTCTACCGGTGCGGGTGCACGACTAGTGCGTGGGCAAGGAAATTTTCAAAAAAAAAGAGGTGTGGATGCGGCAATGGAAGCGGAAAATTTACTTATACATTTTTTTATTTGTATTCTTTATTTCTTCATAAGATAAATGTATTTATGTTCAAAATATAACAGTTGTCCTTATTTTAAATAAATCAAACACATAACATCCCACAAAATAGATAGAAAACATAATACAAGTCTCAAATTGCCATTAAAGTTAACATCAAACCACAGTCCACATAAAATGTCTCTAAACTACCGAGCCACACCCAAGTTATAAAACACAATATAAAACAACCCAGTTGTTCATTTAAAAAAAGTACCCCGCCGCACCCGCACCCGGGTTCGTGTGGCTCTTTTTTGAAGCATCTGTGCTTCATAGTATTTTTTCAATAGTAATATTAAAAAACATAGAAAAATTGTCATTGTTGTAAAAATCCATGCTGAACCTTGATGGATCCTTTTCTAAGTGCTGGGAAGGCACTAGAATCCCCTTGAATAACTAGGGATTGTTGGCTGCATAGCCCCACCTAATTTCACTTAGATCCAGTGAAAGTGTGAAACTTAAATTAATCCCAGACTAGGTGTTAGTCACCTAGATGACTCACGCTTATTACAGAATCAGAATTAACGGGGTGTAATTTATATGGAGTTACTGACACTTCTATGGAATATCATGAAGTTTAAAAGTTCAGATGTATACACTACAAGATTCTAAAAATCCATAAACATCTTAAGAACTCATATGTAAATATAGCTAGGATATGCACTAAGGAGTTGAAGAATGAAAAATAATAATGAATGATTTATTCACAATCTTTTCCCATGACCAGATGGTGTATCTTGTTGGACATGAATCTTGGCTGCATATTAATTGTTAGCTAACGGATGAAAAATCTCAAAAAGGGTTCATACTAGTAGGGGTACTGTCTGCTTACACACACCCTCCCGAGACCCTATTTTTGTAGGACTCTAAGGGGTTGTTGTATTGTGTACTAAAGTGACTACTGGATTTGTTGTTGACTGTTGCATCAAAGTGACTCAAAAGATAACCATTTGCAAACTAAGTACAGCTTTTAAAGCTACAAAACAGTTTATATTTCCCTAATATAAGCGTGTGAAGAAACATTGATGTATCAGAAACAGAAGAAATGGCCTCAGTATCATATGAATTTCATTAATTTGCACTACCATTTCCATACAAGACACAAACGGAAGTAGTTTTAGCATTTTTCAAGACTACACCCTTTTCTTTGACGTGAATGTGGAACCAGATGAATTTTCTCCAAAACCAGAAGAAACCTGACAAGCGACACTGAGGAAAATGTAGAATAACAAAAAAAGTACGAATTTATTGGCTTTTTTAAACCAAAATAAATTCAAAGATGTTTAGAAAAAAGATGATTTTCAACCATTAGACCAACAAAGAGAGAAGGCTTATGAATGGAGAATGAGTCATGCAACTCATATGTGGACAACAGATCTATAAAATACCAGCAATGTAAACTAATACTCCATAATTTTTCAGCATTTTATTTGTTAGCAAAAAAGAAAAGTTTTTGTTTTTATGGTGATGTTTGGTTTGGATTATATATTGTTCGCACAAAGATCATGAACAGAAGTCCGTGCACTTTGTTTACAGTCCATGGATATTTGGAGAGTGTTTCATTAAAATAAATATACAAATATCCATACACAATACACCTGCCATACAAGATGGACTCGAAAGATGTCAAATGATGATGTGGCTACAAACTAATAGCAAATTAGCAAGGGAAACTTTTCAGGATATCACTTACCAAAAGGTGGGGGAGCAAACAACCCTCTGATTTCTTGTGCATTCAAGCGAGGAACAAGTTCCATCAGTAAACGGTCGTTCAACCATCGGCGAGATCTTCGGTTGCTGACCTGAGATGAATATTTTTTATTGGAAGTTGGAATCAATCATTTCCAAAAGAAAAAAAGGTCATCTGAAACCACAAAACTTTGGTAAAAATAATCTTTTCCAACCACACTTCCCATCTTAGAAACTTTGATAGATACCCCTTTTCCCCTCAGAAGCCACACCACTCAAATGCTTGCTTAACTTCCCAATCCCAAATGTGAATACTTGTAAATATCAACAAAACCAAGCCAACTGCTTGACTAAGAAAAATGATAAAGGCAAACAACATCTATCGATTTGCATTTATAGAAATCAGTCAATAAAGCCTCAATCTTTAAAGTCGCAGGATCTGATTAAGGATAACACATTCAGATTCAGAAGCCTACAACTCCCAATGTAACATAGTGAAACTGAAGTTATGCTCCAGTAACAAAGTTATGCTCCTGAAAACCAGAAGTTAAATTGCACCATGACCTTGGATTTTGCAGTACAACAGCTTGTCTATGGATATAAAATACCGTAGACCCATATAAAATTAATGCCAAAAGCACAAGTTAGCAAAGAAATACAGCTTTGCGTTAAAATAAAATGTTATAAATTCAGTTAAGCAATCATGTATCTCCTCCCTAATATCTTATGGAGTTTGAGGACAATACTTTCCCAGCCAAGTTTTCAAGTAATTCAATCTTCTTCTCAATAGCAATTCCTCGGGACTTCACATTTTCTCCTGCAATCCATCCCGAGAGAAAAGTTATTCTTAGAATATCCTGAATCCATCAGAAAGAGGAATCGCATTTCTAATCGAAAAAGAAAACAAACAGCCGTTTGCAAATTCAAGCACGGGAAGCAATTCATAGCAGAACAATTAGAAGGGGGTTTCAGTAATATCTAATGAAGCAATTAAACACGTGCAACCTAAAATCAGAAACAACAAAATAATGAACACTTCGAATGAAAGAAAGACATTGGACAGATTTGATGAGTTTGTGACAGGAACGGCATGGTTTGAACCTTTGGAGTTGACAAAGAGGTCCAACATGATGAGATCTTTCCGCAAGACTTCTGGCGGCGCCATGCTTCTTTAAATTTGAAGTTACGAGGAGAAGAAAGATTTAATCTGCGGAATAGGGACTTGATAATAAAGAAAGGAAAGCAAAAGAGAAAATGGAGGATGAATGCTTGAATTAATTGAAGATGCGCAGCAGGGAAGATGGCAGCCAAACACGAAGTTATATTAGGCGTGAACCCAATCTGGGCCCGTAAACAGTACAGGAGAGAAAAAGGTTAATTTCAAGGGCGAGAAGGGTTAAAGTGATTAGGCCTTGTTCTTTTTATATTGATTCTCATTAAATAAATTATTATCTAATCTGATTTGATTCTAGTTATATTTTAAGTTTTTGATATGGTTAATTCAATCTAATTCTAATGACAATTTTTTACATTATCTTAAGATACATACTCATTTTATGAAACTTAGTGCATTGATATCATAAAAAATTGGGCATTTTGCCAAAAACAAATATTCATTTGCAGGTCCATGAAAGAGATGAAGAAAGGTTCATATTTCACATGTGGACCTAAAGGCCACGAAAGAACAATTTGATACCAATAAGATCAAGTTGAAGAGAACAAGCTCTTAGAGCACTTACAATGGATGGTGGGTGAATTCCGCAGGGCCGTGGAAAGAAGCACGACCCGCTCCATGGATAGATGGCGTGTTATACCCGAGACTCGAGGTATAAGCAAGTTGTACTTTTGAGGAGTGAAAAGGGGGAGAGGAAGGGTAAAGGCAGCTGAACTAGAGCAATTTTGAACTCAAAGTTCAAGAGCATGTGATAATCGATTAATGCTCTGAGGAAATCGATTATGGAGCTGTACTGATAAACAAAGAAGTTTCAGGGTGGGCAGATAGTCGATTATCAGTATCTGATAATCGATTATTGGAGTTTGGCACTTAAGCCAAGAGAGTTCAGGAGGGTACGATAGTTGATTATCAGTATTTGATAATCGACTATTGGAGTTTGTTGCTTATGCCAAGATAGTTCAAGAGGGTATGATTGTCGATTATAAGTATTTGATAATCGATTATCAATGTTCTCAGGATCCCAATATGGGTAGAAGATGGTGGGTGTGTGCTAGGGGTGGAAATGTGAAATTATGGGGACGAGGGTAGAGTTCTTTTGGGTATTTCGATGGGAGAAAATGTTGGAATTTTTGACATTTTAATAAGCATTAAATGTACCAACTTTACACATAATTATCAATAGGTCCACTAATGATTTTAACCGTTAATTAATGGACATTCGATCTCTTAACAAGAAATAAATAAATATTTTGATATATTATACGCCAAAAATGGTAGAAGGGTGAATGAGAAATTGATTCTCAAAATTGACCCGCTAAAAATAGAAGGGTATGGTTGATGCATGCACATGCATGTTTTTATTGAACCAATCTTCCATTACTTTTACGTAATTTTTAAAATTAGTCTATTTTTATGGAGTTAACTGATCATTAATCTCCAATTATTTGAGACAACTTTTAACTGAGCGTAGTGTAACGGACGTGTCAATGATCTCTCATTCACATGCCACTAATGTCACACCACTAATGATGATAATTATTATAATTAATTAGTGGTGATAATGGTGGAGGCTATAAAAAATGAAAAACCATGCTAGCCTATTAAAAGGGATGGTGGTCTCACTTTGAATGGTGAAAACATATGTGAGAATGAGAGAAAGTATTTACTTTTCTTTTTATTCTTAAAAAGAAAGTAGAATCTTTCAGGCGGTTCTCATCATTTTTCGGTCGATAACAATTCAACGACGTTCTCATCCGTAGGTGTGAGGCTGGTCCTCATCATTTTAATCCGTATGATCATTTGTAACAATCTTAAGGTAATAGTCTTATCCGTGCACGATGACGGGTATGGACAGTTTTGGTTTTGACGCTTACACCGAAAATGGGACTAGTTTTGAGACTCCGGTTGTGAACGTTTCGGCTGGATTGGGTTGCTCTATTGGGCAGACCACTCCGATCAACGTTCCTTTTGGATCGAGTGCAGACGAGGGGTCCACTCCGATCATCACCTTCGTTAGATCAAGCGCGACTATGGGGTCCGCTCCAGTCACCTCGTTTAATGGACCGACCGCGACTACGATTGCAACGGTCACCCCACTCACACCAAATATGGCTTCTGCCATACCGGTCATTCCCTCACTTGGACCAAACACGGGTGTCTTCACTTCCACACCGGTCGGACATCCTACTGTCATGCTGCCTGGGAACTCTGTCAAAGAATCGACAAAGTTCACAGGTGTTGGCTTTGAAATATGGCAGCAACGGATGTTATTTTGGCTGACACCATCAACCTTGCGAGGTACTTGAGGGAGGATCCCCCTGTTGTGGTGGAGAACGCGGACGAGTCAACAGTTCAGGCTAAGGAGGCATGGATAACGAATAACTATACGTGCCTTAATCTTATCCTAAATTGTTTGAGTGATGCCTATATGCTGTTTATAGCAGGCTGCATCCTCAAAGGAGTTTTGGACTACTGTCCAACAAATACCAGGCCGAGGATGCTGGTGCGAAGAAATTCGTTGTCGGTAAGGTTTTAGATTTTAAGATGGTGGATTCCAAACCCGTGGTCAGTTAAGCTGAAGAATTGATCCTCATTTTTAATGAGTGCACTGAGGAGGGAATGGGAGTTAGTGAGGCATTCTATGTGGCAGCGAACATTCATGTGCTCACTCCAGCTTGGGATGAATTCTGGAGCTATCTCAAGCTCAAATGGAAAGAGATGACCTTAGAACGATTGCTTGTTCATCTCTGGTTCCGTGAAGAGGATCTCACTCGTGAGAAGAAAGTAGCTGCTTCTAAGGGCAATGTGGTTGAGCATCCACCCAAAGAGGGTTCTTCCAAAAGGCCCAAGCCAAACAAGGACAAGAAGAAAATTGGTCCTAAAGGTTGCGTTGCGAAGACTAAGTTGGCAGGGAAATGCTACAACTGTGGCATTACGGGCCACCGCTCTTCAGAATGTCGTAAAAAGCCTCAAATGAAAAAGCAAATGAATGAAGAAGCCCTCTGCTCAGAGCTAGACTCTAACCCGAATGAGTGGTGGGTTGACACCGGAGTCACTCGTCATATATGCTCCAATCGGGCCATGCTCTTTGACTTTAAGGAGAATTCTGGTGACAAGGTGTGGATGTGCAATTTCGCCCAATCCGAGGTTCAAGGCGTGGGAAAAGTGAAGATGAAGATGACATCCGGCAAGAAGCTCACGCTGAATGATGTGTTGTATGTGCGAGATATACGGAAAAACTTAGTGCAAGGCTCACTATTGAACAAACATGGATTCCGCATGGTGTTTGAGTCTGATAAGCTGATCTTGAGCAAAAGAGAATATTCATAGGCAAAGGTTATATTTCTGATGGGCATTTTAAGCTTAATGTACACACTGTTGTTGAGAAAATTAATAAAAATCTTGTTGCCTATGTTTGTGAGTCTTCCCATTTGTGGCATGGTAGACTAGGACATGTTAATTATGCATCTCTTCGAAAATTAATTAGCATTGAATATATCCCTAAGTTTGAAATCGATCTGTCCTACAAATGTGAGACGTGTGTGGAAGCAAAGTCAACACGAAGTTCGTTTCAAACAATTGAACGAACCACTCAGCCACTAGATTTAATTCACATGGATCTGTGAAATTTCAAAGCAATGCCTTCAAGAGGTGGTAACAAATATGTTATTACTTTTTTCGATGATAGCACGAAGTACTGCTATATTTATTTACTTAAAAGTAAAGATGAGGCGTTGGACACTTTCATTCGGTATCAGAATGAAGTCCAAAATCAACTCAATCGCAAAATTAAAGCGATTAAGAGTGATAGGGGTGGGGAGTACGAAGCTTCATTCTCCAAATTGTGTGCACAACATGGAATTGTACATCAGGTAACTCCGCCATACACACCCCAATCAAACAGTGTGGCGGAACGGAAACATCGCACTCTCACAGATATGATGAATGTGATGTTGCTCAGTTCGGGGCTACCCCAAATATGTTGGGGAGGCTATTTTATCTAGCAATTTTGTTAAATAAAATACCCCGAAAGAAACTCGATAAGACTCCTTACAAGTTGTGGTATAATAGGAAACCTTCCTATAAATACCTAAAAGTGTGGGGGTGCCTTGCAAAAGTTTTAGAACCACCACCAAAGAAAATAAAGATTGGTCCAAAGACCGTTGATGGAATCTTCATTGGCTACAGTGGTAGCGCAAATCGATTCTTAGTGTATAGGTCCGATAATCTAGAAATACATAAGAACACGATAATGGAATCGAGGAATGCAACATTCTTCAAAATATATTTCTGTTCAAGTCGAGGGAAGTGTTCTAACTTATATGTTGGAATTTGAATCGGGGACTCTATCATTTCTCATAGAGACTGAACCTGATATTCTGACATGTTTATTAGAAAATGAACCACGAACTTATCGTGAAGCAGTGACTTCGTCTAAAGACCCTCAGTGGAAAGAGGCAATTAAAAGTGAAGTTGATTCTATTATGCAGAATCACATTTGGGAGTTAGTGAATCTACCTCCTTGATGCAAACCGTTAGGTTCTAAGTGGATCTTTCGAAGGAAAATGAAACCAGATAGTTCCTTTGATAAGTACAAAGCCAGACATTTAATTAAGGGTTACAATCAACATGAGGGCTTTGATTATTTTGATATATATGCCCCTGTGTCAAGTATAATTTCCATTAGGATGATACTTGCAATAGCTTACTTGCAAAACTTAGAAGTTCATGAAATGGATGTGAAAACAGCTTTCCTTAATGGAGATCTAGAAGAAGAGATCTACATGGAACAACCAGAAGGGTTTATAGTTCATGGTCAAGAAAGGAAACTATGTAAACTTGTTAAGTCATTATATGGTCTCAAACAGGCGCCAAAAGTATGACATGAGAAGTTTGATTAAGGGTTACAATCAACGTGAGGGATTTGATTATTTTGATACACATGCCCCTGTGTCAAGGATAAATTTCATTAGGATGATACTTGCAATAGCTTCCTTGCGCAACTTAGAAGTTCATCAAATGCATGTGAAAACAACTTTCCTTAATGGAGATCTAGAAGAAGAGATCTACATGGAACAACTAGAAGGGTTTATAGTTCCTGGTCAAGAAAGGAAACTATGTAAACTTGTTAAGTCATTATATGGTCTCAAACAGGCGCCAAAAGTATGACATGAGAAGTTTGACCAGGTAATGATGAACTCTGGATTCAAAATTAACGAATCAGACAAGTGTGTTTATTTAAAAAACACATCCCAAGGGTATGTCATGTTGTGTCTATATGTAGATGACATACTCATAGTTGGTAGCGACAACAAGATGGTCAAGTCTACCAAAGACATGTTAAACTCGCGATTTGACATTAAAGATATGGGTTTGGCTGAAGTAATTCTTGGAATTAAAATTGTGAGAAGACCTGGGGGTCTAGCAATGAGCCAATTATATTGATAAAATCCTTGACAAGTTCAACAAGGATGAAGTCAGAGTAGCAAAGACGCCGTTGGACGTCAACGCACACCTGGCTAAATACCAAAGTTCCAGTAACTCTCAAATCGAGTATGCGAGAGTTATTTGAAGTTTGATATATCTAAGTAAGCTGAGTAAATACACCATCAATCCGAGTGATGAGCACTGGAAGGCTATTGTACATGTGATGAGATACTTGCGGTATACACGTGACTATGGATTATGCTACTCGAGATATCCGTCGGTACTGGAAGGATACACGGATGCGAATTGGATATCTGATAGTAAAGACTTGAAGTCCACAAGTGGATATGTCTTTACGCTAGCGGGTGCTGCAATATCTTGGAAATCCTCAAAGCAAATAGTGATTTCTAGGTCCACCATGGAATTTGAGTTTATAGCTTTAGACAAATGTGGTGAGGAAGCTGAATGGCTACGCTACTTTCTAGAGGGCATTCCAAGATGGGATAAACTGGTCCCACCAGTTTGCATATATTGTGATTGTCAATCGGCAATAGGACGTGCAAAGACTAACATGTATAATGGTAAGTCTAGATATATTCGTCGTAGGCACAAAACCATTGGACAACTTCTCACAACTGGGATTATCACAATTGACTATGTGAAGTCAAAAGATATTCAAGCGATTTCGCTAACCAAAGGGTTAACAAATGAGTTGCACGAGAAGTTGGTGGCAGGAATGGGATTGAAGCCCTTGTGCTAGGACAGTCCTATGAAGGAAAACCCAACCTAGCTAGTACCGAGGTTCAATGGGACAACCTACTTGTAGGATGCGGCGTGGTCACTATGGGGGCAGTACCGGAACCTCCGGTCAGTCCCTACGTTCCTGCTGAAGACAGTGACTCCTGAAAATAATGAGGTTAGCATATAAATATGCTTTAATGATTCTTAACCAATAGACACGGTGGTCTAAGTGGAGTAATCAGGATACTCTTAAAGAATCACCTATGTAAGAGTGAAGTTTGGTCGCTTCAAACAGAGGATCTTGGGCTTAATCCTATAAACACTCTCGTAGAACCAGGCGCGTGTCCCACGACCAAAATGGCCACAATCATAAGAACAGAACGACGTTTTGGTGGGATCTGTGTATGGCATCCTATCGTTTACACAAACGGCAATACAGTTCGAAGACATCACGTTCTACTAAACAGCTAGTAAAGAAGGTATACCTTACAAGGGACAGGTTCAAAAGTGGAGACACTGTAACACCCCAACCCGCGTGACCCGAATACGAGTACCAGCGGATCGGGTTGCTACTAAATTTGTATTTAGACACAATAATTTTCAAAACAATTTAAAACATTTAATTCAAAACAATAGTAAACATCCATCGAAGTTAACAAAACGATGCGGAAGCCTTTAAGTACTTAATCAAAATACAACTTGGGTTCTTGCCCTTTAAAACATAAATAATTGAAACTTAAATATTAAATCAGATAACTCCTCCAGCCAGCATTCATCCATCTCTCTGTCCTTGCTATCCTCCAAGATAGTTCCTTATTCATCATTCATGTTACCTACGTGTAGCAAATAGGAAAAAGGGCTACACGCTCAGCATTGAAGCTAAGTGAGAACTATCTAATATTTCGACTACGCACATAGACGAACCCACTAGCTCATAACTTCATACAATATCATGCACACAAGTATAACATGAATAACATCATTAATATCATATAATTCATCAATCAAGCATAATTACCATAATTAACAACTTATCTCATAATCCGCTTCCTTGTCTCTAGGCTCATAACCTATCCTAGGCTAAGACTAACTACTTTATTCTAGAGTCCTGATTCAACCACATCCATGAAAGAACCCGCTCGATACGACGTCATCCAACGTCGGCTGGGTGAGACCACCTACTCACATCCATGAGCAGATCTACGACCCCCGTGCGCACGCTCTACTCAACTGACCATGCGTGCACGCCGGCTCATCACATGACCAGTTATTCCTAAATGTATTCCTTATTCTATTTCCTCGGTCTACCTAAGTTCAGCTAGGTAGCCTATCTGTATTCAAGTTCATAATTTCATATCTCCAAATTCATACGAGATTTCAACAAGTGAAATAGGCAATCATATTCATCAATTAGCGGCCTAGTCTCGGGTGTAAACACCCTCCACTTACCGTCATGCAACATACAAGATCATGGGATAAATTCGGAATTCAAATCAGAACAAACAAACGGAGATTCGGGCGGCTGGGGGTGGACACGGTACCCTGGTACCGCCGGGCGGTACCTAGGTACCGACGGTCCGGTACCCCCGACCGTCTAACTACAGTTACCGACAGAGGAGAAATGGGTTGGGGTGGTATCTGGGTCTGACACGGTACCTTGGTACCGTCGGTCCGGAACCTTGGTACCGTCTAGCCGATACCCCCTTACCGTGCGAGCGCAGGTACCGATAGAGCCAATTTAACGGAGAGGTCTGTGGTGGTAACCGGGTACCGTGAGGCGGTACCTAGCTACCGTCTGACGTCAGAAAGCTGCAGAAACAGCGTAATTCACTTCTATTCAACACCATTCAACTCAGATAACGTTTCTAAAGGATTTTATCATGCAAGCCACATAATTTTCAAGGTTAGAACACGCACCTGGCCTTCCTTGTTCGACCAATTCCAACATTATCATATTATATCAATAAATCATAATACAATTATAACAAATAAACCACATAATCAATCATACGAAACTACGAACGTGAATTTCAAATCTATATACGAAATCTAGCGTTAGATGTGCAAGTTCTGACCTCGATTACTTAGAAGAATTAAACAAAACTGCAAGTGGGCGAATAACTTTTGGTGAACAGGCGGCGAAGTAGCAGCGCCAAATCACAGCGGCGGTCTCCTTCTTGCGTCCGGCCCCCTACTCGTTCTTTTCTTTTCTTTTTCCGTGCTTCTGTGTAGGTTAGGGCGCATGTGTATGTATATATATATAGGATTATGCTATGTGTACCCCAAGGTTTGTACCCCAATTTGTACCCCGCAGTTTTGCACCAACACTTTGTGTTGGTGTAAAACTAATTTTTGTTAAACGCACCAACATTTGTGTCCGTGTGAATATTTATTAACGCACCAACACTTGTGTTGGTGTAAACCATCGAAATGTTTGTGCAAGCCTGTGGTGTACAAATGGGGTATATTTTTTGGTGTAAGTGTAGCATGGTCCATATATATATTTAGGGGAAAGGGGTTTATCGGTGTGGGTAGGATTAGGTTAATTATTATTTTATTATTAAAATCTTTATATTTATTTATTGAACTATAATGTCTATTTTAGTCACCACGCTTTACACGTATGCCAAAATTTAGCAAACTATATACCGTTGGTCATCATTTTACGAGACCTATCCGAAAACCCAACTTTCATTTAAAACGGCTAACTACTAAGCCGGTTTTTGGGTCGTTACAGACACTTACCTGTTCTATGTAGGTTTTCAACCGTGGGATGTTGTTGACCCCCAAATCAATATTTTATTCATGTGGGGGATTCTTGGAATTTTTTGCATTTTAATAGGCGTTAAATGTACCAACTTTGGACATAATTATCAATAGGTCCACTAACGGTTTTAACCGTTAATTAATGGACATGCGTTCTCTTAAAAAGAGATGAATAAATATTTTGATATATTATACGCGAAAAATGGTAGAAGGGTGAATAAGAAATTGATTCTCAAAATTGACCCGCTAAAAATAGAAGGGTATGATTGATGCATGCACATGCATTCATTTATTGAATCAATCTTCTATTACTTTTACGTAAATTTTAAAATTAGTCTATTTTACAGAGTTAACTAGCCATTAATCTCTAATTATTTGAGACAAATTTTAATGGAGCGTAGTGTAACGAACGTGTTAATGATCCCTCATTAACATGCCACTAATGTTACACCAGTAACACACCATTAACGATGATAATTATTATAACTATTTAGTGGTGATAATGGTGGAGGTTATAAAAAATGAAAAGCCATGCTAGCCTGTGAAAGTGGATGGTGGTCTCACTTTGAATGGTGAGTCTGTCCGCAGGGGCTCTTCTCTCATCCTCCTTGAAGTAGGCACATTTCTTTCCAAACAATCTTTCTTCTTCTCTTATGGTCTGGATGCATTCCGTCTGCTCTAGCTGAAAATATTTCTCTAGTTTCTAATCACGACTTTGGTCATCATTCAATTTAAAGTTGGTATTCAATCTTCACTTTTCAGGACGTTGGGAGCATGTTAAATATATCAATTATTTAATATATTTAATATTATATATTATAATTATGGTTGTTACCTATTATAGTTAAAGTTATTATTATATAATATTACCTTATATAATTAGTCATTCATGTGTAGGATTCTAGAATATATTCCTCCACCTATAAATACATACTTTGTATTCCTCTCTATTCGTTCAATCAATAAAGCATAATTTATTATTTTTACACAAAGTCCTTATTGTCAACGAAGGCCTTTGAAGATCGGAAGCTAATTTTATTTTATTTATTGTAATTAATCCGAATAAAATTATAAATTCGGATTATTTTATTTCTTTTAGTTTCTTCCGGGGCTATTCATCTTCCCCACCTATTGTAATCCGTACGCTCATTTGTAATAGAAAGGAATAAGATTAAGAAGAGAGATGGGGAGATATTAAATGGAAGAAATCACGGATGGATAAAACCAAGTTGGTGTTAAGAGATATTACACACTCTTATCTTAGAATGGGATTGAGTCTAGTATTCAAATAAGATAAAACACACTTATTTAAATAACTAGAACCTAAAACTCACACTCAAGAGAACCACTTTTAAGATATAGATTTAAGAATTTAAAATAGAACACACAAGCAAGTGTATTACTAGATTGAAAATGTAGTTATGGCATGGTTTTGGGTTGGGATTTTTTGCCAGGAGTGAAGGGCAGAGGGTGAAGGGAATAATGTAGTTTTGGTCTGGTTTTGGATATTTTGGGACTTGGTTTTGGGTGAGGGAGTGTAAAGCCCTGAAAACCGGCTTAGTAGTTGGCCGTTATTTTAATGAAAATAAATATATTACTTATTAACTCCAAAATATGAATTAATTGTAAAGCTGACCATTTTAATTAAGAATTGGGTTTCTGGATAGATCTCCTAAAATGGTGACAAACGTTATATAGTTTGTTAAATTTGAAGTTTTGTGTAAAGCGTGATGAGTAAAATAGATGTTACAGTTCAATAAGTAAATGTAAAGAATGTTTTTAATATAATAATATTAAATATTATCAATACTCCGTACGCATGTATCAATTTCCAAAAAAAAGAAAAGAAAGGGAATTATAATTCTATTTGGAAAAGAAAACAAAGAGTATAAGTTAGATGGATTAAGGGAGAAAAACCAAAATAGCATTCTAAGAGCATTAAAATACTCTAAATAGTAGTGCTATATGTTTCGTACCTGTAATTCCGATTTTATCCTTTAATTAAATAGCAAATGTTCATTAGTCACTGCCAAAAAATATGATTATTTTGGACAGTGTGGTTGTTCACTCGTAATTGTGTAGTGGGCAGTGTGGTTTTTTATATGTGAGTTTTTAATGTTGCAGTGTAGATTGGATATATGTTGTTATATCTTAATGCAGTGTGTAAATGTATTATTGTGTTCCTTAATTTCATGTTGTAGTGTAATGTCCATTGATTTATGTGGCAGTGATTTCATGTATTAATTCTACACTATCAAAAAATGTATGATTTTATTCATGTATGAATTCCACACTGCCCAAAAAATGTATAGCTCTTTTTATGTATGAATTCCACACTATTTTCATGTATGAATTCCACACTGCCAAAAATGTATATGATTGTTTTCATTTATGAATTCCACACTGCCCAAAAATGTATGACTGATTTCATGAATAATCTATTACACCAAAACACACTGGCCAAACATGGGCTTGGCTTTTTTTGGTCTTTCTTGATTTTGTATAATGTTAGAAGATGTTAGTATTAGACATATGCTGAATTTCATTTATGTGGTACTGAAAAGAAATGGATAATGAAGGTATTATGTTGTAAATTCTAAGACTTTGTAAGCAGCATACACTGCAACATTATGTAAAATTGTGCAACATAGCACACTGGCCAAAACATAGGACATAACACACTGCCAAAAAGTATACCTAGATCACAAACATTCCACACTGCTAAAAATCTTTGAGCTTACACTTCATACTTTGTTTATTAAAGTTATTCAAACACTAGTCATTTTGGTGATTTTTTGTGTCCGCTTCCAATGGAACTCAATAAATAATTTATTACATTGGGATTTTTAGATATAAATCTCATTCAACCAAAACACACTAGGCAAACATGGTCATAGGACATTTCCAAAAAGTGTAGCTAGAAGTTGATTATTCCACACTGTCAGTAACACGTTTCCAAACGAACTCTTGAATGTTCAAACCCAATAGTCATAGAACGAAACACATGGCTTTTGCACAATATGAAATTCAATTCATAATTCATAACATTGGAAGTTTTATATGTATGTCTAATTTCACTATCATATTATTAATGGAAGTTAATAAAGTGCATACAAATTTGTTTAGGTCGCTAACTTTTATATACTGCCATATTTTCACTCTTGTCTGCCACATTATATATAGAAGACAAATTCACTGCCAAAAAGTGTTTGCATAACATGATCAATCTGTACTGCCCATATATTTATAGCCACCATATTGAGTAACACATTTCATAACAATCTCTTTCATGGTAAAACCCTATTGTCATAAAATCAACCACAAGCTGTTTGCTTAATATGAAAGTCAAATAATAATTTATAACATTGGTAGTTTTATATGTAAGTCACATTGTCACCACTTGTTTATAAAAATTTTTATGTAGTTTTTTTAATGTAGAATTCCTATTTTTTAATTATACAATAACTTTTACTTATATTGATTTGAAAATAACTTCAATCAAACATCGTAAATCGAATAAGAGCCCTATTTTGGGATGAAAGAAGTATTTATAATTGGCATATTTTTATGATATAATTTTGATATATCGTATTTTTATTATACATATTTATTCAAAACTACATTTAATTGATTGACAAAAGAATTTGATAAAAAAGAGTACTATGCCACTGTGCACAATTTATACATTATGTGAATCTGAATTTGATATAGGAGTTAAAAGAGGAATTGAAACAATTGATAGTGGGATAGATAAAAGGGATTGACAAAATAAAAGGTATGATTGGAAGAGATTGACAACATAAATAGCTAATTTGGTAAAAACAATAAGCAGTGCTAAATGCGTAGTATTAGATGAGTTAGAGTGCTACGTAGGATGATTTCTTATTATCTAATCGCTCCACCGTGAGTCTTCTTCTTCCTTCTTCGTCCGAATATGCCAGCCACCTCAGAGGAAGGTTTGCTGCTAGAATTCTACACCGATTAACCCATATTCAAGGGGAGTGAATTATCTCCCGTTAGAATTGATTCGTAGATTAGTATTCCTAGATGTTTTCTCATGCAATTGATGTTGAATTTGTGGCTATGATTATTGAATTGTTTGATTGGATTGTGTTGGGACGTAAATCGAATTCGGATAGTTTTGAATGGGCCATGTTTATCTTCCTCGTCTGCTCTGCTCTCGCTCTTCTCTGCTCTGTTTCTTTCGTCTGCTCTTCTCGATTGTCTACTCACTGCCACTTGTGCTGGGGATTGACGCCGCCGGAACTGTTCGCTGCTGCTACGTGGGTCACCGGCAGCGCTGGTTCTCACCTTGTTTTGCCGACTTGCGCTGTTTGCCTGGCCTAGTTGCAAGGAGGAGATTGCTGATTTAACCGTTCCAATTGGGTAGCATGAAGTTCCAGATATTCCAATTTGACCACATGCACCTCAAATCCCTTACAATTAGGCCCTTTTCTATATTATGCCTCTAAAATATGAATAAAGACTACAAATTAATCTAATGCATTGTTTAAACTAATGAATTGAGTAAGGATAATTATGTGATTAATTTGGATTATGGAAATAAGCCACCTCGTATATCTAGGAAGGTGTGAGTTAAACTGAATTCAAAAGGATTAAGATTTAGGATTTAGGCCTGGTGGGGCGAGCTTCGCATAACTCACGGGTCTTGGGTTAAAAACGTACGTACGGGAGTCATTAGCCTACCTAGGGATTCCTTTGTAGGGGCTCCAACCCGTCCATTGAGGATTCTCTTTGGGTTTCATCAAGCGTGGCCTCGAGGGATCCGTCCGAGTGTCCATGTCTTAGTTAGTCAAAAGGAAACCTTAGCCTACAGGGTTACATGTAGATGAACAACAAGAACTGAATATAAATAATTAGCTGATCATGATATTCGATATTGATATTTGCTGATTCTTCTGATATTGTATGATAATATGTTAATTGGGTGCTAGTCTATGAGTTAGTTCTAGCGTTAGATACTTCCACTCTCCCTATTTTTAAATGTAGGGATCAAGGATTGGATGAGGAGCAACCTGGAGGACAGTGAATCGTGACGCTGATGGATGGCCCGATGCTGTTTTTTTAAATTAAATATAGTTTGTGGGATTTGTTTACTTAAATTACTAGAATGTTGAATGTTGTTTTAAAGGCTTCTACAACGTTTGTTTTAGTTACTCCGTTTAAATGATGATTTGTTTTTAAATGAATATGAATGTTTGATTTCTTTCTAAATGTTTTTAAAATATTATGTATGTTAATACCAAATTATTAGCAAGCCGACTAACTGACTTGTCGATTCAGGTTACGCGGGTTGGGGTGTTACATTTTGGTATTGGAGAATGTGGTTTTAAAAACGATTCTCGAAAAAAAGAACAACAAAATATGAATTTATTTTCAAAAAAAATGTTTCCTTTAAAAAAAAAAGAGGGCATCCAAAGCTTCGTGACGTCACTTCTCCAGGAGGTAACTCTGAATCCTTTATTGTGTGCTTATAGGATATGTGTTATTTAACTAGTTAGGTGGTAAAATTGTAGAATGGACCCTATCGTTAGTTACGACGACGATCATCACTCTGAGGATGAGAGTGTACAACAGAACGACGATCAAAATATGAACATAAACCAGAACGTCCCACAACAAGAGGTGCCAAATGGTGGGCCTGCTAGGTCCCACCGATCGACCATGCAATGATGATGCAGCTCCTACAACATGTTCTGATCATGAACCAGAATGCCTTGATGCACGTTCGACAACCGTAACAAAGGATCACGCTCGAGAGACTCAAGAAAAACGGCGCTGAAGAATTCCTAGGCGAGAACATCAGCGACCTGTTGTTTGCGTTTAGATGGATAGAGCACGTATGACGCGTATTCAAGAATCTAAAGGTTCCAGCACGCGAGTGGGCCGATTTCGCGGTTATGCTTCTACAGAGTAATGCGTATGAGTGGTGGAAGCGCACTACTCGAAATGCGAATCATCCAGCAAAAGTGACGTGGGCGTACTTCGATCAAGTGTTTAAAGAGGAGTATATTCCCGAGTCATTTGTGGAAGAGAAACGGGAAGAGTTCCTACGTTTGGAGATGGGTACGATGAGTCTCGCTAAGTATTGTCAGCTGTTCGACCATCTCGTTGAGTTCGACCAGGATTTGGTGAACACCACTAAACATCGTTGCGATAAGTTCGTGAAGTGCATGCGCCCGAAACTTCAGAAGCACATGTCTACTGCATCTAGGCAAGATTTTAGCCTCATGCACGAGCAAGCAAAAGAGGTTGCTAGAACAAAGGAAGGATTGAAGTTGAACAAGGAGTAGAAGCTAGCCAAGACATCCACACATGCAGCTAGCACCAGCAAGGTCTTTCATGAGAAAAGATCTCAGAGCGAATCTAAAATCCAAATATAAAAGAAAGCCAAATCGGTGCCTACTCAATCCGTTGCCTCAACTAGCAAATGGAATCAACCTAGACTAGGCATCCTTTGTGTACCCGTTGCAATTGTTATCATTTAGGAGAGTGCTAGTGGACGCTTGGACTATGTATGGGATGCGGGCAAGCTGGCCATTAAAGGAAGAATTATCCTACAAATCCAGGTCCTTCATTTTCTACCACTCACATCTCGAACCGGTCACAAATTGCAAATCCAGCTCAGAGCCAACGTACGATGGCAGGATCTCATGTGCAACGACCGCCGCAAGCAGCGACACAACAACAGGTTATAACACTAGCTAGGACATACGCTCTGCATGGGAAAATCAATCCTAATCCAGATGTTGACTATGATACGTTCTTATATGCATCGTAGGTATGCTTAACATTATGTGACCCTAACTTAGTTACGTATCGTGAACATACTTTCCTATTTGATTATGCGTATGGCTGCAAAAAGAGTGACAACGATTTCCTACGACGCTAAAGAATCCGCGCGAATTCAAAGTCTTCTTCTTTTCAGTGACAATTATGAAAAGGAATTTCGAGGAAGAAATTCTTTTAAGCGGGAGAGAAATGTAAAGCCCTGAAAACTGGTTTAGTAGTTAGCCGTTATTTTAATGAAAATAAATATATTATTTATTAACTTAAAAATATGAATTAATTGTAAAGTTGACCATTTTAATTAAGAATTGAGTTTTTTGGTAGATTTCATAAAATGGTTCCAAACTGTATATAGTTTGGTAAATTTGGAGTTTTGTGTAAAGCGTGATGAGTAAAATAGATGTTACTGTTCAATAAGTAAATGTAAAATTTACATTTATATATATATAAAGAAAAAAAAATGTCTAGAGAGAGAGAAAATGAACCGGCGACTGTCGCCGGAATCCACAATCGGAAAAAACTATTTTCAGAAGTATTGAAATCCCTTAAGGAAGAAGAAAAATTACAAGGTGCTGTTCAAGGTACATTCAAGGGATGTCCATCAGTTTCATTTACAATTGAAGATATCAAAGTACTATCAAAGAGATTCTCCTTTGCTTTGATTGGAACATTCTTGAGGCGTCCTCCATATCCAGTGATGAACAACTTCCTACATAAACTTGGCCTCCAAGGGAAATTCACGTTGGGGAAACTCTCACAAAACCAGGTACTCATCAACTTTCAACTTGAAGAAGATTATCAAAGAGTTTTTTTCAGGCAAACTTGGCTGGTGGGTAATCAACTTATGGTGGTTACCAAGTGGACTCCTGATCACATTGAGGGAGCAGATTGTCCTATCGTTCCTGTTTGGGTTTCTTGTCCAAACTTACCTATCTACCTTCATGATCAAAGAGCCCTGGCTGTTATTGCATCTTCATTGGGAAGACCACTTAAAGTTGATGAAAACCCTCTCAATTTCTCCAGACCAGACCTTGCACGCTTCTGTGTAGAGGTTGATGTCTCAACAGCCTTACCTGCCAAAATTCATCTCAAGTTAGGGGAGAAAGATTCTTTCATACCTATTATCTATGAAAATCTCCCACACTTCTGCTCAACATGTTTGAAACTTGGGCACTCCAATGGTTTCTGCAAAAAGACTCAACTTGGGCTGAAAACCCAGAAAATTCTTGAGGCTAAACCGGCTCCTAATTCTGAGGCTGAACCGGTTCAAAGCAAAGGCAAAGATCCAGCCCAGGAACAATGGACAATGGTCTCAAACAAAAAAAGTGGGGCTGGGCAGCTTTGGAGAAAGAAAATGGTCCAGTTTCAGTCTGGTCCAAGGGAATGCTCCACTCAAGCACATTCCAAATAGCTACAAGACAACCCACAAACCACTAAAGACTCAACTGGACCAGTCCCTGACTCTGTCAGTAACCCCTCCTCAGAAAGGGGCCCAACTCTTTCCACTTCTCCTGCAGGAAATAATTTGGAACCCATTGTAGCAGGAAACAATTTGGAAGGTAATAATCTATCTCTGGTCCTATGGAAGCCCTTACCCTTTATTGATAGCTCAAAATTTACCCCCTTACTGGAAAGTGACAGTGATGACTCTGACTGTGAGGATCTGGGTATAGTTGATGATCAATTTTTTAAGAAATTACTACCTCCCACTCCCACTGTTACACAAGCTGCAAATGAAAAGGCACCAGTCATCAATACCACAATCAAATCAAGGCTAAGATCAGCAAATAGGAGTTCCTCACAGATTTCCCAATGAAAGCTCTTTTTTGGAATGTGTGTGGAGTTAAGTCCTCCCTTAACAGACTTATAAATCTCAAAAAACAACATAATTTCCTATTTCTGGCTATTTTGGAACCCATTGTAGCAGGAAAAAAAATTGACTTCTACAAACTCAAGCTCAATTTCAGCCATGGATTCTCTACTCAGTACAATAAGTGCTGGATTTTCTGGGACAGTAACTTCCTGAATCTATTACAGGTTCAGGAGGGTGATCAGATTACTACCTGTTTATTCCATAATACATTCACTCAG